TTTTTTTAAGCCCAAACCAAAAAAAAAAAAAAAAAAAAAAAAAAAAAAAAAGGTGTTTCCCCCCCCCCCCCCCCCCCCCGCGGTGTGTTACCTGGCCTTGCACTGACCACCGTGCACCGTGTCCCTGGGCTGACTTTTACAATTGGCGCTCCTCATACAGCACAGAGCTCACCCAAACTTCTCTTTTGTATTTCTAGGTATGCATGTCACTAGCCTTACTATTTAAGAGAAGAAGGAAGATGTGAAATTTAAAGCATGTTAGCACCTGGAGGGGAAAAAAAAAAAGAATAATTTGCTTCAATAAATTGCTCTACTGCAAATAAGATTTTTTTTTTTTTTTTTTATGTTTAGGTTAGGAGGGTGAATCTGATGTATCACTAAGTCCGATGTCCACCAGCCTTTCCCACTAACAACATTGCTGCTTACAAACATAGCCTCCGACATACCTACTGTGAGTAACTGCCGAAGAATCAAGCCCAGAGTACCTGAAAAGGAACCTATTTCAGACTAATCTCTTTTAGGTAATTTTGTCTGGGGCTGGTTCTTCTCCCACTTTCCCTAATGTAGTTCACAGTAATAAAGACATCTGCAGTCAAGGCTGGAAGCAAGCGGAGGAGACCTGTAAACCTACGTCTCCCTTAGTCTCCGTGCAGAATCAGTTTTGCCCCATGACTCCAGAGAGAATGAGGTTTATGTAAGCACAGGTAGCTTACCTGCTCCTCCTTCCAACACAGTGGAAACTTGTATGAATATGTATAAAGGCATGACAAAAAAATCCATACTGCCAAATACAAACTGGAATCTGTTTTATTATTTCTGTGTGATAACCTTTGTAAGCTACACCACTTCCTTTGGAAATTGCTCTTACCCATTTCAGAAGATAACTTTGCTGTATCGGAACATTTCAACGGTATGTACACTACCCATTTCTCATATCAGGTGTCAGGAAGAAGAGAGCAATGCATTTTAAGCCTGTGTGCAAACAAATAGAAAAACTGTTTTCAGAAAACAATTTTATCTTAGAAATGCAACTACCTGTACACAAACCATTTGTCTTCTACCTAAGATAAGTTCCGGTACCACACAATATTGAAAAGCTATTCTATCCAAGCATTAGACACACAGCTATAGAATTTCTTCCCTGTATATGCAAACCAAAATTGTCTTATATTTGGAAAGAGAAGGAAATACATGAAATTTAAAGGACACATAAAATACCATGTATGTTTCCTTTAAATTTACACTTGCATTGTAACAATCATTGATATACATCAATCCCTTCTAGAAGACTTTACAGGAATAGATATTTTAGAAGCCAAAAGTTATGTCCATTTGAAAGAAAGTGACTTTTTTTATCATATAGATAAATTCTCCAGGAGTCAGAAACTCCTCCATGTAGCAAAATATTGTGAAATTAACTTCATTCGGTGATGCAAAAACTGCCCTGAATCATCAGGTAAAGGACACACCGCAGAAAGGATAACAAACTTGGTGGGCTTTTAGTCTGCTCTGTTACACGAATTCCTGTGCATAAATACAAAGTGAACAAAACCAACCCACAAAGCTATGCCATGCTCCAAAACTGGAAGTTTGATAATCAGAAAATTTATGAGAAGGCTCCAAAGTTTCTATTACTTCAAATATGTCATATTAAAAGATGGTACAATTACGACTGTTTATTAGTTTTGGATAATGAAATCTTTCCTAGCAAGAAATCAAATTGCATCTAAATTAGCTTTAAACTAGTTTAAGTTATCGTTTGCTACTTGTGGCATTAAGGGAAAATGAAGAAAGTGGGCAGCCCATTTGGTAGGCAAAGAATTACATTAAAATGCGTGTTGTGTAAACTGATTCCTGTTGCTTTTGATCTACTTTCTCTACCTCCATTAATGTAATCTGGATCAGAGAAAGTGCACCAAAGCCAAGTGCACGGTGAATTCAGAGCAGATGGGCTGAGGCTAGCACATAATTCTAAAAATCTGTTTGGGGGTATTGGGAAAAGGCTGTTCTGAAGTTAAAGAATATCTTTTCTGTCTCACTTTGTTTTCTCTCATACATGTTCTCCCTGCAACATTTACAGGAGAACAGAATTCTCAGTGAAAACATCACTAGTTTTCCATCATTTCATTAGAAATGAAACACTTGTTGCAGCAAGAAATACAATCCACAGGGACAAATTACAAAGGCAGAAAAGAGATCTGTTTAATGACTTACTGTTAACAGACTTCCCAAAGCAGTCAGAAAAGGCCCCTTTTCATCTGAGACAGTTTCTCACCTGGTATGGGCAGCTTCTAAAGCTTCTGTTATAAGATACGCAAACCTGAAGAATGATGGGGAGAGAGGCAGCAGCAGATGGGAAAGGGAAAAGAACAGAAAAAAAGGTAACAGCGATAGGAAGAGGGAAAAGGGAAGAAAAACAATGGAAGGAAGGTAAAACAGACAGCAAATATAGTCACCAGAAAAAAAAAAAAAAAAGGAAGAATAAACCTGGAAAAGGGTCTACAGTCTACAGAAAGCTCCAAATTCAAGAGTGTGAATTTATAATAAAAAAAGTTATCAGAAGCTATGGAAATAATCCATACACGTTAGCTGCAGGCTGCGTTCAGTTCATGGCTTACTCATGCCTTTCATTACCCAAGTTCTGACACCTGTTTCAGTGGGTCGGGGCCAACGCTCCGTGTTAAGCATCGACAACGTTTGCTGCCGCTGGGCCCAAGCCGGCGGCCCCCCGCAAGCCAGCAGCCTGCGACATTCCCAGGAGCCAAGGCAAAGCCCCGGGTTTGTTCGCGTTAAGAGGCAGGGCGCAGCCTTGCACCGCACCCCGCCGCGGGGGTTTCAGCTCCTGCTGGGAAGCCACGACGCTAATCGTTTCCTAAAACCCAGAAGGGCGGAAAAGTGGAAACAAACGTGCGAAGCCAGCGAGGTCAGCGCCCGGCACGGGCGTGAGAAGTGTTAGTGGGGCCGGTGCCGCTCGGCTGCGGGGGCAGCAGCCGGCCCAGGGCCGGGAGCGAGAGGCGGCCT